CACAAGCACATGAACATGACTCACTTCTCTTCATGGCAGCGCTTCCAGATTTTCCTTCTCCTTTTGTCCTTTTCTCCCCCTCCTCCCTCTCTTTCTCTCTCTCTCTTCCTCCCTCTCATCCCTCCTCCTGTCCCACCAAAGTTCAGACTTTTCTTCATCAGATCCAGAGAGGCTGCCGGCTGAGCGCAGAGAGATCACAGCAAACCCCTCCCTAACACCTTGAATCTCCAAGGCTCAGTCTGGCCGCACACATGGAGGCTAGTTTGAAAAGCCAGGAGACTGGAGTTGGGCTGACTGGTGGTGAAATAACGGGCTGTGGAGATGCACACAGGCCATCTTGGTGCTAGCTTGGCATGGCTAGTGTTGGATTGTGTTTGTTGTTCTCGCGTGCAGAGAGAAGTTAAAATAAAGAGAATAATGGAGTCTCTGAAAAAGTTCAATTTGGTACTTTAATTAAGTAGCGTGGTAATGAAACCAGTAGTGGAGACATCAGTTGTTGTCTCGAAGTTGCAGCGGTGAAAAGAGAGCGAACAAGCCTCTCCACCTATCTATATATCTCATCCGTGACTCCTCCTCTCAATGGCGGCCGTGTTGACGGGGGTCCGCCCTCCTCTTTCTTCTATGTCCGATATCGCGTAAAACAGAGGATTTAGACGTTGTGTATTAATTGCATAACTCCACACGCCTTTTCTCCTCATACACCCTTTCATAACTTTTTATTTAACGCATTTTAACGGCTGTAATCGATTTTAACGTAAAACCGGAAGTGGTTATTGTTGTCAACGGCAACGCCTTTCAATACAGCTTTTCAAAGTAAACTTTAACCGGAACTGTTTTCAGAATAAAACNCCCCAGAAATCAACTGCCGTAAACCGGAAGTGGTTATTGTTGTCAACGGCAACGCCTTTCAATACAGCTTTTCAAAGTAAACTTTAACCGGAACTGTTTTCAGAATAAAACCGTTTTCGCGTAAAACAGAGGATTTAGACGTTGTGTATTCATTGCAGAACTCCACACGCCTTTTCTCCTCATGCACTCTATCATGACTTTTTATTTAATGCATTTTAACGGCTGTAATCGATGTTAACGTAAAACCGGAAGTGGTCGTTGTTGTCAACGGCAACGCCTTTCAATACAGCTTTTCAAAGTAAACTTTAACCGGAACTGTTTTCAGAATAAAACAGTTTTAAACTTACTGTGTGTTTAAGCTAAATTACGTCATTCAATATTGATTTTAAATTTCTTACACTAGCTGGAATATAGTGTTAAATAAGAGCAGTTTGAAGTCTTTTCAAGGATTGTTAAAGATCCAGGAACTGTTGTATATCTATAATACCAATGCTTTTCTTTGGCGGGCAAAGCAAATCCGAACCATAGTGACCTTTAACCCCTTTACATTACATTTCATTTGGCTGACGCTTTTAAGCGACTTACAATAAGTGCATTCGACCAACAAGATACAAACTTGAAGAAAACAGAATCATATAAGTACATCAGGTTTCATAGAGCTAAAACATTTCAAGTGGTACTCAACTGGCTTTAGATAAGCCAGTCCTTGATTAGTATATAAGCGCTTTGTTAGTAATTCTATTGCTCGAAGTGGAGTCGAAAGAGATGAGTTTTCAGTCTGCACCGGAAGATGTGTAGGCTTTCTGCTTTAAGTGCTGAAGGTGTGCATGCTAGTTATTGAGGGAACATAGGTGTTTTTTTTAAGGACACAAAAGGAGCATGGAATTCAAAGCCCTTATGGCATTGAAAGTCAAACAAAACGGTAGAAAGGAAGCGGAAAAACAAAAATAGATTGGCCATTTGTCATTGTGAGACTTTTTTTCTCTTTCTCAAAAACACACATCAAATCTCAATAGGATTCACACTGTGGGCTCTGAGGATGCCTAACACACACATCACACTGACATTCCTTTATGCCAGACACGACAATATTACGCTATCATGACATAATGCAGCACCAGCTCTGCATTAGCTCCACAGCCTCATTAATGTCTCTTCCATACATCCTCCTCTACGTCTTCCTTTGTATTGCTGTCTAATGCAGTTTATAAAACGGACAAGTTAAATCAAGCAATCTGATTGGTTCTTAGCCGTGATATAATGAGCGTATATCACGGGTAGAATTGTAGTTACTTTTCACAACAAGTCAGTATCCCTCCGCGTCTGAGAAAAACTGTATACAGTTGGGCTGAAAAGCAAACTGCTTCGCGTCGGGCCGAACCACGCCCCTTAGCTGTGATACAATGAGCATATACCACGGCCTGTCGTGAGCTACTGCTTAATTGTTCCATGAAATACAGGCCTTCTGTAAATATATTCGCTTTTGCCTGCAGACCTGGATCCTCTTCAAGCACCTGCTCAGATAAGGCAGTGTTTGTGTTGTGTACGACTTTGGTGGTTATATGGATTTCACAAGAAAGGACGAGTGACCAATGAGCATTAGTTACACTTAGTTTTTTCATCGTGCATTGCTGAGCCCTCATCTACTCCTATTCTGTGTGAATGCCTTCCTCTTCCTCACTTGCTCCCCCCTTGCCCTGTCCCCCACAATATTGGCCCTATATCCCAAACAACCCCTCAGCCTTCAAAAGACAGCCGCTCATTCAGAAGGTTTTGGGGTAGGGTAGGGGAGGAGCTTGGCGCAGGCTTGGGGAATGGTGAGGAGAGGAATTGGAGGGGGGGGGTGCGGGATTCTCATTCCCGCTAAAATGTCCCACATGGCTGAGCGTGCTTAGTTTAAACAAACACAGCCACTTCCTCCTCACTGGGCACATCGGCACAGACCATACACACCCACATAAACACACACCAATTGTACGCACAGGCATGCCTGAACCTCATCACACAAAAACAAGCATATGGGCACACATATAAACACACACACACACACACACAATACATTGTAAACCTTGGCAGGCACGGACAATGCTTGCAGTCTTGCACTCCAGCTTGGAAACTTGCAGCTGAGCCCGGAGTGACTGCACACCAACACACCGCAGGACTGAAGATTACTTACAGTTCCTCATGATGGACACTTTTACGTGCATATTCAGCTTAGTGTGTGATTTGACCTCTGGTTACACCGAGTTTAAAAAAGGAACATCCTTTGTGGAGCTTTAACTGTACAATCCACAATAAACATTGCTGGAGTCAAACCCCAAAACCCAAACTCAGGGTTAAGACCTGACACAATGTGTGTGTGTGTGTGTGTGTGTGTGTGTGTGTGTGTGTGTGTGTGTGTGTGTGTGTGTGTGTGTGTGTGTGTGTGTGTGTGTGTACAAAAGTGTGTCCAGAGAGTCAGAGAGAGATTGAAATATGTATGTGTCTATTTTGACTGTTTTAATATATAACTGTAAAGTCAGTCGTCAGAGGCAATTTATTTAAATCACCCTACCATCATGTGAACATTTGTTGTATGTTTAGCATACGGACAATTTATGACTATTGCTGAGTGCTTCTGAAATTGCTTTTACAGAAAATGAGGGACATTATTTAAATAATGGCAGTGTTTTTTTTTTCACTTTTCTGAAAATGGGGCAGAAGAAGATGTGGATTGGTGTGCCAACCTGAACCAAATATCCCTGGTGTTTTTCATGTTTCATTTATAAATGACAGATACCTCAAGGTCCCTGAGAGCTGCCAATATGTTAGGGTTCTTTAAAACTGAGAATTTGCTCCTTTACTTTTTAATGGACTAAACAAGACATGAGATGATGTGCTATAGGACATTGTAGTGGACAGTTGCTATTGTTTTCTGATAATCAATCAACTAGTAACTCATTTGAAAAAGGTGACACTCCAATGTCACCAATCAAAGTCTAAATAGTGTGTTTAAAGATTGAGGTGAATGACTGGCAAGCAGTACATACAGTTTAAAAAAAGTGAGTGTATTTACAGAAGTTCAAAGTCCACTTTTGTTTGTTAAACCTCCGCCGTGAAGTTAACTGTAAAGACCCACTTACCTCTGCATTCCCATGTATTTGAATGCAATGACCTGCAATCACCGTAATCAGCTCAGCATTACAAGCGGCCTGAAGGAGGACAATAAGCCCACATTCACTGCCAGGGGACCTGCTGCCCGACACACAGCACGTCTCTGCCTCCAAAGCTCCATCAGGGCTGCATGCCATGAGTCTTAATTAAGACAGCTATGCCAAGTCAAGAAGTGAAGTCTACTCCCCCTTCCTCTCTCTCCCTCTCCCTTCCTCTCTCTCTCTCTCTCTCTCTCTCACACACACACACACAGATAGACGGATGCACAAACTCACATTCTTGAATGGACGAGCATGTAGACGGAGACAAACCACCAAGAGACATTCAGATCATCAGTTTTATGGGCCATGAAAAAGCTTGCTCAGTGGGTGGTGTGTGTGTGTGTGTGTGTGTAAAGAAAAATACTATTTAGTCACACCTACATGAGAAACCTCTCTCCTCTCTCACAGACAAGACAACAACCGACTGAGTGTGAGAGAAGTGCACACACACACATGTACACACTCATACAGCCTTCACACCGCAGAACAGAGCAGACAAATCATGAATGAATGGTACTTTTGCATGCTGTGTGTGTGTGTGTGTGTGTGTGTGTGTGTGTGTGTGTGTGTGTGTGTGTGTGTGTGTGTGTGTAGAGAGCAGGCAGATGTGTTTAATCCATTAGAAGAAAAAATGGGCTGACAAATCAGAAAGGACACTTCTGGGAAGCCAATGGAAAGTGTACATACAATCGCTTGCTCCCCACACACACACACACACACACACACACACACACACACACACACACACACACACACACACACACACACACA